CGCCCATCCGCCAGGAGGAGACGGCGCTGCTGCTGCTTGAGTCGCGCCGCGCGCGGCAGCTGCGGATCGCGACCAAGCGGCAGCGCCTGATTGACGAGGTCGCCGCAGCGGAGGCGGCGACGCTGGACCCGGAGCTGGTGGCTGAGCTGGCGGCGGTCAACACCAGCGACGCGGTCAACCTTACAGGTGCTGCGCCGCACGTTCGACCTCGTGCGCACCCGCCTGCGTGCCCGGCGGCCATGCTGTCATGCATACTTGCTGCTTTTGCAAACGGAGAAGGTACCGTGTGCGTCGGGGAGTATGCATGGATGCCGCTGGCCAAGGGGCGCCCGCAGCCTGAATCTGGGCCGGCCGAGACTCCCACAAGGGACAGCGGTGTGCCGTGCCGGGGGCAACTCTGGCTCACCCTGCGCCTACAATCCTGATGGGCAACGCAGTTGCCATGGGCCCGCGTTGCCGCACCCTGGACATACGGTTTCTTGTGGACGACACTGTCCCATTGACTTGTGTTTCCTTCCCCCCACTTATTCCTCTCCTAGTGTTCTCATTCGCGCTGTTTGACAGCCTCATGTCCGTCGAGCAGGTGGGTGGAAGCTGAGCAGCAGTCGAAGCGACCTGCACGTGCATGTGCGTGTGTGGGCAGAGCTCGAAGTCGAACGGTCGCGCGTTGCTCATGCCTGCGGTTGCGGGCATGCATTGTGAACATAAAGCATGACTACTCACAACTTGTGAACCGCACGGTGGCCCAGCGCCATCGGCCCCGATTCTGAGTCTGCGCTGGTGGGACCCCACCCTGACAGCAATACCCGTGTGTGTGCGCGCAGTTTGCGGCGTTTGCGCTGGCTGCCTGGCCCTGGGTGCCGCCCCTGGTGAGCAGTTGGGCTCTTCAGGCCAAGCCAGCCTGGTATGAGTAACTTATCTATCTATCCAGCCATAGCCTGGGTCTGCGCACAGCTTGGCCAAGAAGCGTGGTTCGAATCAGCCTAGTTCCTCCAGTGCGCACCGCCACCACCATCAGATGCACGCTTCCTTTGCTCTGCCCATCAATCCAGCTGTCTCCGCCCTTGCTAAATTACTCGCTGGCCTGCCTGCTGCTTCGCACAGGAGGGCCTGCGCCAGGCAATGCATGTGCTGGCGGACGAGCGTGAACAGAAGGAGAAGCAGGAGGGCGCGCAGCTGCGGCAAGAGCCTCCGCAGCACCCTGCACAGCAGCAGCAGCAGCAGCAGCAGCAGCAGCAGCAGCAGCAGCAGCAGCAGCAGCAGCAGCAGCAAGAGGCGGCCGGACTCGAGCACGAGCCCGGGAGCAAAGTCAAGGAGCCGCAGCCCGACCCCCAGCCGCCGTCCTCATTGATTTGATGGACACGTTGCCACGTGCGCCCGCGGCCGCCACCTGCCGTTCGCTGGCAGGCGGCACACAGCGCCGCTCCTCTTTCTTTCGATCGCGCAAGGGGGCCACTCATGAAATGCGACATGCAACGGCTCGGCAACATGGTTGTGCATGAGCTGCGCTGCTGCTGTCCCGTCAATGGATGGCAACGCAGCCACAAGAATTGCAGCCGTCCTGGCCCACCCGACGCCTGATTGCAAGGCACATGACGGTCCTACTGCCAGCCTGCCAATGCTGGCGCTCCCTGATCCTGGCACGCATGCACCAAACATTCGACGGGCTGTACCACACGCACGTCGCGCCGACAACCCCAGGCCCCAAAAGCAATAGTGCGTGCCAGCGCGCGCAGACCGCACGAGTGCCGCGTCGTCCAGCTTCCGGCCGTTTTTCCAGCCTGCCCGCTGCCCCTTCACCTTTTCCTGCATGCAACCGACTGGGTGCGCAGCTTCCGGCCGATTACACAGGCTGCCCGTTGCCCCTTGACCTTCTCCTGGATGCGTCCGACTGGGCGCGCAGGTCTCCAGCCCGTAGGGGGCTTGTCAGCCTGTTACCCATCCAACCAGGCCGACTTGGTGGCTTTCACCCCCACAAGCCTGGTGGCCCCTCACATCTGCACCGCGTCACGCCGTGGTCACCTGCCGCACCGTGCGGCAGGTGCGGCAGGTGGCCAGCCGGCAGCTGGCAGGTCACGAGTTCTAGATCTGGCTGCCTGCTGCTGCACTGCTCATTTGTGTCCAAACTTACTGTTCTTGCCACCAATTCCTTCTTGACGCGGCTGGCAATTGCCAATCAGAACGCGCGGCATGTGTGCAAGCTGCCCGCATAAGGTTTTATGTGTGGTGGAAGCTCGTGACATCCCCGACAAGCGCGCCTGCCTCCCATCCCCGGCCCCACGTGCCCCCGCCCGGCGCCCCATTACACCGCCCACACACCCGGAATTACAACGCATCGGCACCCGGCACCCGACCATGTAACCCAACGACCTTTTCTGCAGCAAGGCTGGGTGTTGTTACATTGCAAAGCTGAAATCGTGACCGTGCAAGCGCCAGGTAGTGCTCTAGTGCATCAGGGTCTGGTTGGCCATTTCCATTTCAGGGCAGTCGACCAGTCACCCAGCAAATCAAGCTTTGAGGTTCAGTCAGGTTCCAAGCAGAGCGTTGACAAGCCCGGCGTTGCGCCGCTCGCGAATGGCAGAGTGACAAGAGACCTTGCTGCGTGAGTCATCAAATAGAATTTGGTGCACGTGTCAGCCGACGATCCTCGCGTCCATCGGTCGCCAACCTTGCTGAAGCTTCCAAAGGCAGCACGCTAACATTCAAACCTAAGCGCGCCTTGAATCGCGGTATCGCTGCGCCAAGTCAACTTCTCAAACAGCCTAGACATGCCGCCGCATACGTCGTCTATGCGGCCCTTCACCAGCAGCCCGACGGGCGCAGTCAGATCACTGCTGGCGGGCGGCGGCAGCCCCGTCTTGGGTGCTGTCCATCCGTATCAAATCCGGCACGTGGGAAACCCCCTCCCCATGCGGCTCCTCGCGCCGCTCGTCCTCCACCACCTCCTCGTCCTCCCTGCCGTCGTACTGCCCGCCTTCCCCGCACGGCACGCTGAAAAGCGACGCCCTCGTCGACACCCCCGCCGCCGCCGCCGCGCCCACGCCCTCTGTGACGGCCGCCGAGATCAGGAGCTCGTGGCGGGGCGCGAGCTGCGTCGCCTCGCGGGGGCCAGCGCTTGGCGCGGCGGTGCACTCGCCGGTGGTGATGGCGGAGCCGCCGCGGCTGGCGCGCGACTCCCAGCCGGGCAGGCTGCTCATGGCGGGCTGCATGGCGTCAACTGCCTCCTGGGTCAGGCCTGGGGTTGAAAGGTGGTGATGGTGTTCTCGTGGGGCCAAAGAAGGGGCACGGACATCCGATGCCATACACGTGTCACAAGCCATGCGCCCTCAGGGAGGCGCCCTTCATCATGACCCCAGGGCAACAATGAACAAGTAAGAGTTGGATTCATGCTCACACACTACCCGCCTGAGGCAGTCAAAACGCCACCATGCCGCCCCCACCTCCCCGTCAGCTACCGCGCTCGCCACCGCCTCCAAATCTGGGCGCGATCCACACAGCTGAGGATGACAGGCAGTGAAGCCACTGCTGCTGTCAACGTCCTCCCCTGTTATCAGCAAACAAGCCTTCCGACCCACCCACCCAGGATTTGGCTGAGGTAGCGCTGGTCGCTCCTGCTGCTCAGCCGCTCAGCAGCGGCCGCCGCCGCGTTTGTCGCCTCCAGCATCGCCTCCACCTCCCTCTCCAGCTCCAGGAACTGCTGGCCGTCGGCGCCCGCGACGCTTGCATCGTCCCCTTCCTCATCCGTCTGTTCCTCGGAATCCTCAACCACACTCTCGGCATCCTCCTCCTCCTCCACCTCTTCAGACTCCTCGGCGACATTCGCAGAGTCAAGCTGAGCCCTCAGTGCACTCAGGTCACCCTGGAACTCAGATGCGCAAGTCCCCTCCTCCTCCTCCTCCTCCTCCACTTCGTCAGCACCGGGGCCGTGGCACACCAGAATATCCGCCCTGCTCGCGCCGCCCGCACTGACGGCGCGCAAGTGCGCGTCAGCAGCGTCCGCCCTGTTGGCCGCGGCACCCACACTCGCGAGGATGGCTTCGGCCTCCGCAACCCTGCACGTGCCCAGTGGCTGGCTGGCAGGCCCCACGCCCTGGCGCACCGTCTGCGTAGGTGCGTGGTTTGAGGGTGGTATGTGTCAGGGAGCCATTGGCAAGCGGTCTTCGGGGGTTTCGGAGCGCGGCGTGCAGGACAGGCTGACGCATTAGACCAGCGCGCCTGGGACGCCGGACAAATCACTGCAGGCCTGGAGCAAGACACTGTCACTGTCAACATTACGCCGCGCCTCTGAAGGAAGCAGTCTGTGCATCAAACTCAGTTTCAAGCGGCCGCCACGGCCCCATTCTGTCATGATGTAGGGTATTGATCCTGAGCCCTAGGCGAGCGGACCCCACCCTCATGATGCGCCCTTCAGGGGCAATCTGCTCGGACACCAGCTTGGGTGCAAACGTGCACTGCGCCATGGCGGCGTCCAGCGCGGCTGCGCGCAGCGCGGCCTTCTTGGCGGTGATGTTGGTGGCCTCGCGGTACAGCAGCTCGTGGCAGGGGGTGTCCTAGGGGTGGGCGTGGGGT